TGGACATGAAGTTCATTGCCTCCCCGGTCTACGTTTCACCTCGGCAGCGTCTAGAATTGCTCTAGGTCCTCGTCGTGCCATCGAATAGACAAAGACAACCAGAATGATCGCAGCCTGTGTAAAGTAGACCAGAGTTAAAAGGATGGGCTGGTTCTTGTGAGCCTGTATACGTACCTGAAGGATGATCCATATTTCTAAGAGTGTCTTACCCCACCCATTGACCTCCAAATTATCCCGATGATTCACATTCTCTCCCTCGAATTCTACCAGCCGGCTATCGTCTTGTGCATTTTCTGCACCCTCATCTATGGGGTTGTTTTCCTGGTCAGTAATGTACTCGGCTCTGGCCAGCGCGGTCCTATTCAGTCTGGAGACAGCGGCGCGTCTCCTCGTGACACGGCTGTCATCACTTCCACGGGCAGAACCATGCTTGCTCGTTTTGCTTGAGGACCTTCGCCGGGTGTGTCGGCGGTTCGCATCCGTTTCGCTATCTTCAGGATATTCGGTCTCCCATGGATCAGTTCGACCGCCATTAGGATTTAGTTGTAGGGACATCGAAGAAGGCAACGTCATTTGCTTCATTTTGAAAAGCGAGTCTTGTACCAGTCCACGACGCCGGTGAACTGGTGGTGCCCATTTATTAGGTCTTGCGCTGACTGCACGCGATAAAAGGAAGAAAGTCTCGCCAGGAGAGCCTTCCAAAGAGCCGACCGGAAGTATATGTTCACCATCTTCCAAAGGCTTTCCATATTTGTCAAAGTCGAGGGCAGAACGGATGGCAGAGACCGCCTGATTCTCTTGCGCGAGAAGGGATTCGTCTGTATAATTGACCTCTCCAGAGTTCTGAACGATAGTGGATTCATTGAACTCGGCATCACTATTATCGTCCAGGTTCAAGTTTGATAGTGAGAGTGCGGCTCCTGACGGGGCATCATCTCCTGGTCCATCTTCCATTTCACTGAGTAAAGAACGTGGATTAGCTTTCGAAGAAGCGTGCCCTTGCTCTTTCTTTGATAATCCATGATACGATTTGCT